AAGCGAGCGACCATATGTTAATTAAGAAATGTTAATTAAATAGCAGCGTCATAGTGATCTATGAAATGTAGATTACTAGTCTCATCTCGTCGCAGATGTTATTTAAATTAAATGATATGTTGCTTCTCTTCGTTAGTTTGATTTCATAAATTTAAATTCCATAATTAACACGTGACAAAATTAAATTGCTATATAGATTAAATGAATAAATTCCAGTAAAATCAGTGTTGTTATCGTGAAAGATGAGCGAAGAAAAAAACAGAAAGTAAATGTATCTTCAAAGTACCTACTTCACAAGAAACATATTACATGTTAAATTGAATTCATGTGAATATACATATAAATGTATGTGTATTATATGTATTTATATGTATTTTATATTACATATATGCATATATATAGTACGTGTATATTACATATACACAATATATTGATATATGTATACAGTGTGAGTCACCTAAGCCATCTGAATAATTTCTGTAATGTCCAAGATGAGAAGAAATATTTGAAAGACAGTTGTTCATTTATTAAACGCAGCGGCGGATTAAGTCCAGTGGGAGCCCTAAGCGGTAAAAATTTCGGCTCTCCTCCAAAAAAAAATTTGAAGGGAACTCTCATTATGTTATAAATAAGAAGGAAAAGTAATTAAAAAATTTTTGACAGATCCATTTTCGAATTTGCCACATTAATAATCAAATTGCTCCCCTGTGGGACGTGTGCTCCACAGAGGGGCAATTTAATAATTTTTTAGATTTGTTTGATTATTTTAAGGAGCGTTTTTTGAACCTTTTCGGTAATTTCTAAAATCTTTAAGTTAAGATATATTTAGACGTCCGGGTCCACACGTGACTGCTTAGTCCGCTTACTGCTTAATCCGCTCCTAATTAGACGACCACGTTATGACTAAAACTTATTTTCAAGTGGAAGTGCTCAGTAGATGTTAAGGTCACTTGGACCTCTACAAATAGAATCATGTAGTTTTATGCAGTTATGATTACATAGGGTTTGTTTTGGGTATGGTGACTATTTGTTCTGTACTTTCGGGGATTGTTCTGTATTTCAGCAGCCTATCCCCGTAATTATGTTAAGAAATACAGGACGTACAAATGTCCTCTATTTATTTATTAGTCCTATATTTGCATATTATATATATATAAATTATATAACATCGAATATGAAAAAATGAGTCTTCTGCAACTAACTTTCTAATGTCTTCTTTCAATAATGAACTGTAATAATTAGATATTTCTACAAAGTGTTCGTATTCATTTTTAACTCTCTTAATTTCTATGGTTGATAAATTTTGAGATGATTTTGTTACGTCATGAAGACTATATTTTTGTTTTCTATTCCTCTCGTTTTAAGCATTCCTTCTTATTCAATTGTTTTTCTCTTTCTTTTAATAAATAACTTATGGAATAATCCAATACAAGAAGTTTATTATTTTTTGCTGTTTGTGTGTTGTCATAATTTCCACCTTTTTTTTGTCCCCGATTTCCCTCCCAAAAATATGGTAAATAGTTTTGTATGACTCATTGTCAGTGCATACGTTATGGACTATGTAATCAACATGAACATTCCTAATAACGTTTCGTTGTTATGAATAACGAAAAAGAAAATTAGGCGCTGTAATGCATTTCATGCTACACTAACTGGTTAATGCGAATATTGTTATCATTTGATCAGACAAAATCGTAGTAATGACATCACATCTGATTTAATTTCTTAAATATCTTAGATGTGTTTCTCTCGATCTTTACGAATAAAACACTTCAGAATATTCTAGTATACAGGTGGCCTTGTAAAACAATGGTAGTTTCCGTAGATAGCTCTACAATATAAAAATCTTGTCGATTATAACGACCGAAGTTGCGATAACGGTTTCACGAAAGTACTGCAATATTGGAAACACCAATTGCCACAGCTAACACATAAAATGACTCCTATTAACATTCAATGATCAGGGAAATTCACTTACTTTCGAATATTAGACTGCCTGGTTTTTGTTTAGTTTTATTTTATTTATTTATTTGCAAGTTTATTGTGAAAACGGAAATCTAAATCCATGTAATCCGTTAGGGACACAATGAAGGCATTACTACTACTAATAAATTAAGCTTTCTAATATCCCACAGACAATTAAGTTGTTTGGTCCAATATTAAAAAGGTTAGTCCTTTTTGAAATATGTCAGAATGTTAATGGGAGTCAGTGTATATCCTAAACTTTTAGTGTCCCATTCTTTTCATCGCAATTTTGGTTGATTTAATATCGAGAGTTTCATTTTCCAGAAATATCAAATAGTCTAAATCTAGTTTTCTCGCAGTGTCTGTAGACCATATTACTTATAATTAGACTGCGGATTTTATGCATTTATAGGGAAATTCAATGTACAGAAGATACAAACACCGATTTGAACGTATAAAAATATACAGAATGTATATTAGAATATTTAAATGATAAAATAAAGCACATTCTTTAAATTACTCTTATAAATATTTTATTTTGTATAAAAACCCGCGGTCTATTCATAATCACCAGGCATTGTAAATAATAACCGATTAATCACTCGGTTCATTCAACCATTCTCAAAATACAATATTGTTCGTGTTTTTTTTCATTGACGGACGGCTGTGTTGCCCCTTGCGTAATACTAATTTTTAATTATTATTAAATTATTGTTACTGTGAAGGCTGAATTCCGAAAGCACGAAGTGTTAATACTTCTCTAAGGACACTTCTATTTTAACAATTAAAAATTACAGTCCTCTCCACCATGTGTATCATATTTCGCAAAAGCCACAGTGAATAATTTCATATCTGCTTTTGGAATTTTTCCAAAGTTACAATCTTTTGCTGATCTTTGGCTCTTCTCTAGACTGCGGATTTTTATGCAAAGTAAAACATTTAAAATATCAATTTAAGAAATGTGTTCTTTTATTATATGAATTTGAAACATGCATTCAGTTTTTGATATTCTAAATAGCTTTATGCATTATAAGCAATATTTATAATTTCTGCATATTCAATCTTATTACAAATGCATAAAATCTGCAGTCTACTCATCTGTTTGCACTTTACTACATTTCATAAATAATTTATTTTTTCTTATATGCTACTTTTATTTTTTCATTTGATGTTTTCATTATTATTTTACTTTTATGACATTCCAATAAAAATTTCATACGATTTATCAGTGTTTTTTTCTGTAAGATTTGACTCGCTATCTCTTTTAATGTTGTTTGCTACTTCAATTTATATTTCTCTAATCTCAGATAAATCGTTATAATTTATTTCATATTTTATATTCTACATTGCGTTCCGATTACCACTTTCAAACTCTTCAATAGTATTTTACTGTTAACCTTTCCATTTTTTAATTCCAATTTCATATCTCTATCTTACTTCTCTTCGAACCGAAAAGTTTTCGTGTTTTCTTGCCTGCTGGACATACTAGTCATCATAACAGTTTTTTTCTCGGTGACCTTGTGTGTCGTTGACTGTTTAGTCATTCGTTCCTCGACAATATTACTACCATCAATGGCTTTAAACGTCGATGGTTCATTGCTGGAAGTGGAGTACTTTTTCGTTTCTTCCGAAGACTCGTAATTAGAACTGCTGAGTTTCCCAGGAGTGGACGTATAAATCTTGGTAGTAATCGTTTCCATTTTTCCTCCGGGAGTCGTCCTGGTCTCCACGTTTCTATAACTCTGATTCTGAGGTAAATTCTCACCGAATCTTTGCACGTCACTCTTGAACGTGCTTAATGGGCTTTGGAATCTGTCCACAGCGTCTCCGGTATAGTATCTCTGTTCTTGGCCAAGCGAATGCAATTTTTGTTCGTTCAAATAATCCTCCTGAGAGTATTTTTCATAAGAATGTTGTTGTTGTTGTTGTTGTTGTTGTTGTTGTTGTTGTTGTTGTTGTAATTGTTCTTGTTGGAAGACTTTTCTGGTAGAAACTGGAGAGTAGGTCATGGTGTGCACTGGTGGATAAGGTCCATACATTTTTTTCTCATCGATGTTGTAATTTTCTTGATTTATTCGCTTCTCGATCGAGCTGTACTGGCTCGAGGGGGAATCTATCAATTTCCTATCGGTGTAGGCGTCGTCTATTAATTTTCTATCAGAATATGTGTTTCTGTCGAAATATGAACTCTCCGAGCCATACTGCCTGTCTAATTGACTTTTATCCACGGATCCGTACATGCTATACTGGCTATCCTTCATTTTTCTGTCCAAAGTGCTTTGAGTAGAATGGACCTTCTCCGGGCTTACTAAGTTTTGCCTATCAACGGCTAATTGACTGATTGCATGAGTCGTAGAATGCAGTTGGTCCAGAGTATGATTGTTTGCATGCGATTGGCTGTCGTAAGTCCTGAAACATGAACAAATATTTATTTATTTTTGTACCATAAATATTTTAATGTAGATACAAAATGTTCCGACGACGTGATGGAACCTCGGGCCCGAGGCAGAGAGCTTGGGTCTTCAACTGTTTTTCCCACCTAGTCTTTTCTCAGGAAAAACCGAGATGCTCGCGTCTTCACCGACCTAACCCTACCCCCTCGAGCCTAAGACAGTTTAAGGACATGAGTAAGAGGGTGGACTCGGTCTTCAGAGAAGAAGACTAATTGGAATCAAACGTTCGTACGAAAAACCAAACAGCATGTTTTTCCCCAACTCTGATACGTTTCACCGGGCAGTTGTAGCAGCGTTTCGACTAAACTGCTCACTACATTTGTACGAGCAGTCGAGATCAAACCTTGCCATCGTTTCGGGCATCAATCGAAATCGAAAGCTTTTTTCCAGTCGTAAGCCTTGCCAATCGTTAGGGCGTCGAACGAAATCGAAAACCTGCTAATCGTCGCGAGCAGTTGATACTAGCCGTTTTGGGCATTTGAATTAATGAAATTCAAATTGAGTTTTGAATTTTACACGTGGACTCGGACAACCAACGATCAAGATTGATCCGAAACGAAACACGAAGTTTCATAAAAATCGGTGAATGTTGCTGTGACTTACATGCGATTAGAAATTTCAAAAATCGCATTTTTGTCACAACTTTCGATCTACAATTACGATAAATTGATAAATTTTTACACTTTTCAATGTGTCTAACTTTTCTATGCTTTCACTGATTTTACTGAAACTTTGTACACACATATAACTCATTGTCAGTTAGATTAGAATTAAAAACGGGACGTTTCAAATTTTTATTGGGAACCCTAATAAAAAAGTTAAAAATCATGTCCTTTTCTTTTTTCTCGAGATTCTGATAAATACTAATCGTTTTTCAGTTTTTTATTACATATGTAGTAAATGAAATTTCCTAGAACTTGTTTGAACCAATATTAAAAAAGTTCTATTCTACAGGATGTCCCAGAACTGGTGGTACATTTTTTAATGGAAAGTTCCTGAGATGATTTTAAACAATATTTTCCATTGTCAAAATGTTGTCCGAGGCGTGGTTTTTGAGTTATTAACGATAAACACTGACGAATCAGAGCGCTCAAAAAATGTCTGTCAGTGACCTGCTCGAAACATCACTGTTGTGTTTTATCTTTAAGTACCGGAGTTCGGCACATTGACCCAGTGACGTTCTTCTAGGAACAGGTGAACTTAAAGATGAACGATTAAGTTCAACTCTAATTCTCTTTCGATTTTTTATAATTTTAGCTGCTCTAATTTGTAAAGTTGTTAGTTATTTCATTGAGTATGTTACATTTATTCAGCGAACATAACTAATGACGCTTTCTTTCCTCTGACATTTAACCAATTTGTTAGTTCGTTTTTGCATGCAATTTTTCTTTAATCCTTTGCTCTCGTCACGAGCGCGGCGTATGGGCGTGGCGACGTCCAAGGTAGTTGGCACACTCCTGATCGCCCGCTATACGAGCGCTCTAATTGGTCGGGGTTTTTTGTTAATAACTCGACAACCACGCCTCGAACAACATTTTGACAAAGGAAAATATTGTCTGAAATCAACTCAGGAACCTCCCATTAAAAAATGTACCACCAGTTCTGGGACACCCTGTATTTTAACCCTTTATCTGGCAAGCAGTGAAATGAATAAATTTGGGAGTTATCCAAGTTTTTTGAAATTTCTTTCACATGCAAGCTGCTAGAAACACATGTTACTTGAGGTCAACATTACCAAATAAAGGGTTAAAACGTGTCCGGATATTAATGAGAATCACTGTTAGTATAAAATATTAGTAAGTATAAGATAATTAAAGAAATCACGAGGGATATAAGTATAATAACAGATATAAAGAGATTTCAACTGTTAATGAGTGAACCCTCACTTGTATGTATGATTAGATTGCAGATCTTTATTGTTGCAGATATTGAATGTTGAACAATCGAAAGAGATATAGCAGATAGTAATGTAAATAAATATAAAATATAAAAAATAAAATACAATGCATAATATGTGGAGGAAAAAAGGAATGTTTATACATATTTCGTTTTTCTAATTTTATTTATACAAATGGGAATTTGCATAAATATCCGTACTCTAATGAAGATATACTTCTATTATTGATATCTATATCACATGGAGGGAAAAACTAGTCAAATTTATGTATTGGAGAAAGTTGGAACAATAAAAGCTTCAATGTTGGAAATTATTTGAAGATAAATTTTTGAACATATCTTCAAGTGGTAATACCTGAACTTCGTTTACTGAATATGTTGCCATACATTTACGGTGAAAAAGAAAAGGGTTGAAGAGTTAAAAATTTGTATACTTGTGGAGTAACCTGGTAGTGTAGCTCTCGTAGCCACCCTGTTCAGCTTCCGTGTCAGTATCGGTTAAGTCCGGTCGATTCTTGTATTTCGCCTGTCGAATTGCAGTAAGTCTACCCCTAGCTTCTTCCAGTTCTCTCTCGATGCGCAGTACCTCCGACCTCGCATCAATCTCCTGCGCGATCCCGCCCACCATTCTTCGATTAAGCACCAAAGATCTGTCTTCTTCCTGTTGTATAGCCTGATTCAAAGAAATACACTCAACTATCCATACATTACGCTATATCTAAGGCAACATTAATGAGATGAAGACAATAATTGCATATCTATTATGTTATCCCAAACGTTCTTTTCGTGATCTTCACGTACCTTGTTATCAGGTAATGTGTAGGATAGATGCACCATTCGTAGCCATTGATTCATTTCTAGTAAGTATGTTATTTATTCCGATATGTTAAATATTCTGGTGTTAGTTTGATTAAAATGAAAATATGTGCAGGAGCGTAGTATGTTGATATTATTGACCATTTGGTCTTACTTTCCCATTATTTTTTTAATTAAGAAACGGATGTAAATTTATTCATTTTTGCTAACTCCGTATATTCTTAACCCTTTCGCTACGGACGGGTTCTCCGCCGCGGTACTTCCGCTGAACGGAGCGCCGCAATATCACTGCACGCTACGCGACGCCAAATGATACAAAACAAAATACTATCAGAAGTTTTTATGCAAAACGGTCAGTCGGCCGTAATACCTCAGTGGCATCTTATGGAAGGCCACTGTAGTGGCTCGTAGTAGCGAAAGGGTTAAAAATAGTGATTAATGAATGACTGGTACAGAAACCACAAATTATCATATTTTATAAGAGTGTGACCCAACTTTCTTACGTATTTATTTTATACAATATATATTGCTAAGAATTGTGAAACAATAATCTTAGATAATATCGAAATTAAATACTGGCCAAAAATGGTACAATGAAAATAAAATTGTACCACCTGTGGCCACTACGTGGCCACAAATAGTACACTTCATAACCATTTTTGACCAGTAGTTGAAGCATATAAAAAGGCAAAAGTTGTTTTCGTATCGAGACCTGCAGTTTCTGAAAAGGAAAACAGCCAATAACGCTTCGTATGCCCAATCCTGTATAATATGCCATGATGTATGTAGTATTAATAATGTCGCACCTTTTTTTAATTATTATAGAAAATCATGGAACGTAACAAATTTATTATAAAAACAATTTTGGATTTTAAAAAATTATAATTATAATTTATTAATAAAAATAAAAAGAGAAGACACGACAATCGAAAAAGAAATTTTTGTCTCAAAGAAAGTAAAAGAAGTATTAAAGAGTTTATTAAAGAGTTACTATCCATGTCCAATAATTATTGTAATACTTATTTGTAATTAATAAGAAATAAATGTTTGTAATTAACGAAAAATTATAATTTTTACTATGCGTATTACCAATTACATAAGTGACCACAAATGAAGAGAAGGCTGTCCAGAAATGATACAAATGGGGCAAACGTGTCTTCTGCGATAATACAATAAGTTTTTCGATTATTATGCTTCAAACGTTGTGTATGTTATAATATTTTGATTCTCTGTACATATATTTAGAAGTAGAACAACATACTATTCGCTTCTTTATATCTATTTTCGTACCATTTATACGATATTACATACATGATACAGAAACAGTTAAAGTGGCCATAGATGGTACATTTATCCTATGTAAACATACAACCTGACCTGTTTATTGTGGATATGATGGTCATCACTCGTCTTCTAGCTTTCCAGGAGTAATGACTTTTACGTTTCGTTCGAAAGAATAATTGATACATGGTTTTATAATGCACAATGATGAAGCGAAGCAATTATAGTGTCTATATTAAAACGGGACGAAAATAAAAATCTACAGATCTACTTGGAAAAACATTGAAAAGATCCTAAATAAGCATCTATTGTTAGATGATAACTTATTGCGATGTTGAATTATTTTAAAGAGGTAACAATGCTAAAAATACTGTATATAAGATTCGCATTGTTTATGGCGGCCGTGACTGGGGAACGTTATTGTTCAGACTGTACGCAATTGGTTTAGAAGATTCAAAACCAGAAATTTTACTTTGGAAAATCAAAATTGCATACACTATAGCATAGCGAAAGCTTTAAAACTGAACAAACTTAAAGTAGCAATCATCAAAAAACGTCCAGAATTAGTGAACAGACGTGTAGTTTTTACCATCAGGGCAACACTAATCCGCACGTGTTTCTAGCTGTTCGAAATAAGTTGTTGCAATTTGATTGGGATGTTCTACCCCTTGATACCTCGAGACCTCTAGACTCTTCGGATCTTGATCCGTTTCTACTCTTCGGATCTTGATCCGCCTCTATACTCTTCGGATACCCCGTGATACCTCTCTACCTCCATACTCTTCGGATCTTGATCCGTCTTACTACTACTTCTTTTTTTATTAAAAATTTTCTGTGCAATAAAAAATTCGATTGACTAGATGAAATAAAAATTCACCTTGAACAGTATATTACGAATAAACTACAACAGTTCTGGCATCATGAAGTTTCCTAAGAGATAGAGGAAGGTAGTAGATCAGAACAGATTGTATATGTATAATTTAATAACATTATACAGAACAAAATATTCTACATTTAATGTTCAGCAAGAAAACGAGAAGAACTTTTGAGACAGCTATGTTTGGTCAATATTAAATCGTAATGTTTACCTGTTGTGCAGCACGAACTAGATTGTCCGTGGCCCTTTTCACAGCATTCCCAGCGGCCTGCAGCCTCTTCGTGCTCTCACTATCAGGATCTGCCTTCACTTTACAAGCTACCAAAAGCTGCGCTGTGCTACTAGCGACCTGTTTCGCACTCGAAATCAGCTTCTCCTCCGTACTAACACCTTGTACCAGCGCGTTCGCTGATTCTACGAGACTGTGAGTTGCTGCAGCGACCATTCTCGCTGCTGAAATCAAGCCCTCCGACCACTGACCGTCATCGGAACTTGTTAAAGGTGTTCTAGACACTTTTCCTGTCGCTATCAATTCTCTTTGAGCGGCGCTAGCCGCTTTTATCAGAGCCGATGTGGCAGCCGCGATTGACTTAGCTGCTTCGAGGATCATCTCGTCAAAATTCATGTCTTCGCTTGCTTCCTGGAATGAGAAGAGTCAAATGTTTAGTGCAATAGAAAGTTGATATATTGTTACAACATTCTGTCAATCAATTCATTAGTCGGTTATTGTCTACTTTCATATAATGAGACACTGCAGAGATACACAGTGACTTCCATTAATATTCGGATACACCTTGAAATAAAATTAATTTAATATTGGATTAAACAATTCATTTTCTTTGGCAGATTAGGAGGCCGGATTTACTATATAGTATGTGACAAAAAATTGAGAAAAATTGCTATTCGTCAGAAGCTTGAAGAAAAAACAAAAGGGGTGATAATTAATTTTTTTATTAGGGTCTCCCATAAAAGTTTAGAACAACCCGTTTGTAGATTTAAATAAGTGATATGCATGTACAAAGTTTCATCAAAATTGGTGAAAGCATAAAAAACGTAGATAGATTAAAATATGTAAAATTTTCAGTTGCAGACCAAAAAAGTCGTGAAAAACTAGGATGTTTTAAATTTCTAGTTGCTTGTAGCTCATAGCAACATTTATCGATATTTATGAAACTTTATAATATTTATGATAACATTTTTTATGTATTTTTTGTTACAAATTATATAGCAAATTATGCCTTGTATCATCCCACAGAAAATGTATTCTTTGGTATAATATTAAAGAAGTTATTGCGTTTTGAAATGTGTTCGAATATCAAAGGGAGTTTTGTAGCATTATAATGCAATGATATTAGATTTGTCAATTTATAATTTGGAAATATTTGTCCTATTCTATATTATCTATTCTAACAATAAGTAGATTTCTGTATTGCAAACGTGGAGTAAACTTCTGTGTTACAGCATGAAGATAACATCGTATGCAGTGGATGGACGTTGGTAAATAATGCAGAATTTTTGCCTGAAAGTATTGTTTTAGTCTTACCACAAGTACAAATGAACAATGGTATCCTCGCAGATTTATTCTGACCGCCATAATAATATGTTTGAACCCTGGTCAATTATTAAACAAACGACCAAGATTATCAAACATATCTTACGGAGAACAGACTTCAGCTATCTTCCATGAACTCCTCGACGAAGTTTATCACAGCCTGTATATCTATATATATAAACAAAGTGCGGATGTGTATGCAAATTTCTATTTTTATAAAGAAAATTAAAGAAACGAAATGTATATAAACATTTGTTTTTCCTCTAAATATTATAAATTGTATTTTACTTTGGATATTCTGTATTTCTTTACATATTACTGCATATTGTGTTTGTTTAAATTATTTGAAACTCCCATAAATGCATGAACATCCGCAGTGTATATATAGGATGATGCTATATGTATGTGTTTGTTATATGATTCAATAAATAAATTTATCCTTGTATTTTAACAAATTAAAATGTGTTTTCGTCGAGCTACATAATCAAATCAATCACCAGTGGATAATATTAAATACCTTTCACTGATTGAATCTGTACAACAGAGCTTCCTGTCTCACTCATGAATGTTCAGTAAAAACCATTCTATCTATCTATTTAAAATTTTTAAAAATGTTGCAGGTATATTCACTAAGGCGAGAATTTTCGAAAATCTATCTCTAAGATTGGAAATTGGATAAACTTTGATCTGATGAAATATCAAATTCGTTCTAGTGCCAAAATGTCATTTTCTAAAACTACAAAACAATTCCTGAATTTTCGAAATTCTACCCTTAAGGGAAACAGAGTGACATGTAATTTTTCGAATTTCCTTCTTTTTATGTCGCAACGATAGTTTTATATACGTGAGAACCAAATTTTCAGCCTCAAGGTACATATTTATGTATGTATACATATATGTGTGAATGTGCTTTCGCGCTGCTAGTATACACATTGATATATGGTTGCACTGTTCATAAGTTTACGTTTAATATTATATTTTAGTTCTTGCGTGTGAATATATCAGTGATCTGAACGATAATCTTTAGGTGTAATAAGCTGGGTGAAAGGCGTCCATTGGTGTTCTATTATCAATCCGAAACCTAATCAAACTTTAGCCATGTAATTTGCATTAGAGTGAGTTCAGCAGGTAGCTTAACAATCTTAGTACCTATGGGAAGAATTAAAAATGTCGTTTCTAAAGAGGTACTTCAATAAAACATCAATTCTATTGCTTTTCACTAAAGTAAAAGTATTGCGCGCTGGAAATTCTAAAATTTACATATAATGATTGCCAAATAAATTTGAACGTTGTTTTTCAATTTTTGCTGCACTTGAGAATGTATCCTTGTATTGTAATAAGTTATGAAATTTTTAATTTAATGTATGGTTAATTAACATATACATTATTATACGTGCATCAGAAGGAATTCAAAAATAATGATGTACATACGAAAATAGTAATTTTATAACATATTATGAACTATAAAATCTATAGATATTATCCAAGTATTTACATCCATATTAAATAGCGTAGTCTTCAAAAGATTTAAAGAGAGATACCAACCTGTATACTTCTTCTTGGTCTCAAACTAGCAAGCTTTTTCGCAGCAGCATCAATACTAGCAGCAGCTCCTAGCAACTCGTTTTCAGCAATAACCGTAGGATCATCAGGGTCCACCCAATCATCACCTTTCAACAATTCAGCTACCGCAACCAATTCCGTGACGCTTTGAGCAATTTTTCTACTGATAGGTGGCAACATATGCTTCGCATCGCCAGATCTCGTCGATATTTGAAGAATAGATTGTAGCAGTTCCCTGGAATTCATTATTATTATTATTACTTTATTAAAAAGCATAAGCTCTTTAAAATGTACACAAATAAAACAGAAATAAAGTGTAAGTAACTTAAGATGAAATAAAACATGAACAAATAAACTTAGAAATAAAGTATTAAGTTAGATTAAAACACGGGAATAACATATCTACAATACAATTAGCAAATGTCAACAAGAACGTAGGATTCAGTACTTAAGAGTTAACCAGATTTTCAGATTGACTAAAATTGATCCAATTTTAGTATCAAAAGGTATTCTTTTTTTACAGACTTTTATTTATATACAATGGCAACCAAGACTATACATATATACACACTGTTTCATAAAAATGAAGATAATACCGTCCACTCTTTAATTGTTAGTGGGTGATTTCAATTACAAAGTAAATGTAATTAACAATATGTAATAATGTGCTTTAATTTACATTTACAATATTCTGAATATTTTATAAGAATAGGAGTGTAACTCAACGTTTATAATTTTGCATTTTAACATTTCGTATGTTAAACTATATATGATTTCAAATGAATTTTTTGAATTTTCAAATGAAATTTCATTTTTTTTTAATGCTTCTAGTCTACGTGGTGTATTAGTTATTAAATTTTATATAACTTCTGATTCGATATTATACCATTTCTGTTGTGTACTTTTCCATAACGCATGAATTCCCGAAGGGTACCATATTTTGCCAGCCTTCTTTTCACAACTGACAACTGTTTATCTTTGTTAAACGACTCTTTTCGAATCCTCTATTGTGTACTCTTTGTAGG